AGTGCTGGTCCGTCCGGCCCGCGGGGCGGGAGCGCGGCGCGGGGCCCGGAAACGCCGGGAGCAGCCGGAAAGCGAGCGCGCGGCAGTGCGCATGCGCGCGGGAAAGGGCGGGGCCGGGAGCTCGGCGGGACGGGCGGGGGAGCGGAGGCGCCCGGGACCGGGACAGGGACCGGGACCGGAACCGGAACCGGGCCATGCCGTGCCGCGCCGCTCGTGGTACAGCGGCAGCGTCGGGGACAAGGCGAAGCATGAGCAGCAACCCCTAAACGCGCGGCGGTCTCGGCGCCGGACGTGCTCGAAGTCTGTCACCGACCTCCACCGTCACCTGCGCGTGGTCGTGCCAGGCAGAGTTTGCTGCTGGTGGTGGGCCTCAGGGTTCCAGCTGCAGCACACAAGAAAATGAAAAGTAATTCTAGCGTGTATTTTCATGCAAAAGCAGGGCACATTTTTGTTTGAGGGTTTTTTGTGTGTGTGTGTGTTTGTTTTAGAGTGGGGTGGGGGATGCTTTTTGAGACTTCTCAGCCACCAGTGTGGCAAGCCGCAGCGTGTCCTGGCCAGGAACTGCCGCGGCTGGAGGTGGTTGAGCTTGGAGCCATTTGAACGTCGTGCTGAGAGCTGCAGTGCTGCAGCCCCGGGTAAATTTCTGTTCCTGACATTTCTAGAAGCAGCTGCAGAAGGTTCTCGGGCTTTCCCCCTGAGCCCCATCTCAATGTCATAATTTTCCTAACTTAACCTTGCAGGCTTCTTATTTGAAGTGTGCTTTGTCCCTGATGACCACAGTGCTTCTCAGTTTTTACTAAACTGTGTGATACACTCTGTTGCTTTTGTGTCTTGCTGCAGAAACGAGAAGTATATCATAGTAGGCTGTTAGGTTATAGCCTAATAGCTTTCAGACCTGACAATAGTGAGTGTGTTGCATTCGAAGACATCTACATCTGTTTTCAGATTTGTTCTGAATGATGCAGCACCTTTACACTTCAGCTTTCTTCAAGTAATGTATTAATTTCATTTGCATGCATATGTTTTTAACATATAGCATTTCCAAAAAATACAGTCCAAAGACCCCTGAGTTCGAAAAGCATGGTACCTGACAGTGCTAATTTAACAAGAATGCTACTGTTTTCTGCAAAGACATGCAATCATGTGCCATTCATTAAGTACTGTTCTGACTGGAAACCACCAGAATCAAATGCCTGATCTCTGTAAGGTGGGCTACATGAGCAGGCAAGAAGCAAATCTACTTCTGTCCATATCCTAACTCAAAGGAAATAGGAAAAAGAATACATGTATTTTGTCTTTAAAGCATTTTGTGAAAAGATGTACAGCTCAGCTGTGGTCTGGAGGTCCTAAGAGATACTAAAATAAGTAACACAGTTTCTGACCTCAGTTTTTCTCCTCTGTAATATCTTACTGGAAAGGTATGTCTCACCAGTTGAGAATTAGTGTATTGTCTCTATCAAAAAGTGTTTCATTTTAGATAATGGCTTTTGTTTGCATCAGGATGGTTTCACTTAGTGTGTATAAGTAATCAGAGCTGAGTTGCAGGGAGATACTTCCTGAAAGAGCAGATTTAATTCACTGCCCTGTGTTAAATTACGTGAAGTTTAGGGAGTGGCACTATCTTCTTTTTCAAAGACTGGCCTTTGATCTATAAGTTAACTATTCAATTGTAAAAGTACTGGATGTTGCAGTTTACGCAGTGAAAAGAAGATGAAGAGTGATGCCAGCTCTCCAAACAGTGCCTATTCCTAAAGGTTTGCAGCAGACAAAAATGGAGAGGGTGGAGGTGACGTGCATTCCTGCCACCAACCTGTCAGTGCCTGTCAGTATGCCACTTTCCTACCCATGCTCTTAGTGTGCCCTTGGCATGCACTGATGAACTGCTGTTGCCACCACCCTGTCTGTACTCCTCCTCCGTCCTCTGGGACTGAGTAGTTATGCTTGGAAGTGTAGGTGGCATCCCAGTCCAGCTAGACAGGAAAGAGATGCTTAGCTCCTGTGCCTTGTGTATTAAAAGGAGGTGAGGGCTTTGGTCACAGGGGCATTTGCTACCGAAGGACAGAGGACTGTGCAATAAAGATGAACTGGCTTGTGGGAAGCAGGGACAGCAAGGCCGCTGACGCACAAACTGTCTGGCCAAGGGCATTATCTCCACAAGAGCTTTTCTCACCAAAAAGCTATCATGAGCCCAGACCTGCATGAAAGAAAATTCCACAGTGCATGCTGCCTGCACAAGCAAAATTCAGGAGCCCAGCTCTGTCAGGGCCTGGGGGTGGAGGAAAGGTGAAGTCACAGAGCTCTGTTTCTGCCCGTTCTTTCCCTATACTGATGCTGTATAGGAACAACCAAAAGTTGCAGGAACGTTGCCCAGCCCAGCTTGCTTGGCTCCGGGATTGCTCTCTCTGTTTCCTCATTCCTCTAGCCCAGTGGAGGATGTGGTCCTCATCCATTCCTTTTTGCAGGTTTCTCTTTCTAAGGGGAGTGCAAACAGGTGGATGAGTGCTTGAAACCATCATTGTTATCACATGTGCAAGGCATTGCCCCACCTCTGAGATGGTGAAAGCTTTTATGAATATGATTACGTGTGTTTTCTATTGCAAAAATTGGCTTAAACATAGTGATTCCAAATTCTTGAGATTTGTAACCTTGGTGCTCAGTAGTTCTGTATTCTTGTCTTCTCTTTCTCCATGTAGGTGCCAGCCCCTCTGCACTTCAGGTATTGGGGTAAATGACTGGCTTTTTTTTCTGGTTTGAGGTTTTTTAGGAAGCGGTGATCTTGGGCTTGGCAGATACTTGGCTTGTTTTTAGTCTTGCGATGATATGGAGATTCTGAAAAAGCTCCTCAGGTGGTGATAGCATACCTTGAGATATGGACTTTCACAGCAAAATCCTCAAAAAATCTTCCTGGAACATAGTGGTTCTTTCATCAGCATATTACATTTGATGAGGCAATGACAAATGCAAATTCAGTGCCCTAACATCCTATTTAAAGTAATAGTAGCATTACTTCACACATCACAACCTACACATATATCTTAAAGAGAAACCAGCTCCAGGGAAATTAAAGAGAAAACCAGTTGAAGTAGATCAAGCTGCAGATCTTTTCAGCACTGAATCCAGAGATTTTCTTCCCTGTCATCACTCTCCTTTTCTTATGGATGTACATTATTTGAAAAAGAGATGTTCCAAGCTTGATCTAGGCTCTCTGGTGTGGTCCTAAGCTTTTTTAAGGTGAAAACATTGTCTAGAGTGGCACTTCTCAGAGAACAAGTTCTTTAGTACATCCACTGGAGTTGCATGGTCTCCCTCTTGCCATGGTGCTGCTTTGAAGAAGGCAGATTGCCTGTGAGTGGATTAAGGGCTCCTTGGCCGTGATGTGGAGTCAAAACTGCAGGAGAGCAGAACGTGTCACGCCGGAGAACTTCATGCAGATGCTCAGAGCTTGGGCAGGTTACTGGCTCAGCTCTGCTCTGCTCTGGGGTCCCAGCTGATTGCTGATCAGTGGTCCCAGCAGCCTCTCTCAGAGACATGAGGAGTATTTCTGCAGAAAAGCAGCTCCAGAACATTATGTATCCTAACAGAACACAACTGGTCAGTGACCTCTGTTCTGATAGGTAATGAGGATATGGCACACGGCTTTTGTCAAGCAGGACCAGGAAGTGCTTGTAAAAGGCTGCAGGTACCAGCAAAAAGTCAGTAATTTGAGCTGGAATTCATGCTGTATAGACCATTTCAGCCAGTGTTGACAGCTTGTTTTGTGACGCACAGAGATTTCAGATAGAATCAGTGAACTACGTGGTACAATCTTGCTGTGGCAACTTTGAACCAGGTTTAAGACACCAATATTAGTAAGGATTTAAAGTTTCTCCATGCGAGATTCCCTTTGTGCTTGCACCATGGGTGGCTGTCTCCCTTCACAACATCCTCAGGCTTCTGGGTTCACACAGACACCAAGGCATGTAGTAGGCCTACCCATCGTCTGCTGCAAGGACAGGCTCCCCAGTTTGCTGCTGGGGATATTGCTCCCATGTTGAGGCATTTGAAAGTGAGACATCACAGCACACAGCACTGCAGAGCTTGAGCTCTATGAACATATTTCCAATATTCCTAAAACTTCTGACCTTGAGACATTCAAGGGTAAGGATGTGAAGTGAACTCAGAAAATCCAAACAGGTCTAACCATGACTTCATGCAGTTGTCCTTTTCTACTTGTGTTTCCCTGTAAAGCAGGGATGTTAAAAGAAAATAGCTTTTACCACTAGGTGGCATTTAAGGATTGGGTTTGGTGGTTTTTGTGGTTTTGTTGGTCTTATTTTTCTTCTCTCTTTTTTTTTTCCTTCTTTTTAAATTTTGTTTCTTTAATGCTCTGAAATACAGTATTGAAAATTGCCTAACTAGGCCAAATGGATTGCTAACCTGATTTTCTCCCTCCCTCCAGCTGCTGGAGACAGTCACTGAAATTGGCTTGTGGCTATTCCTTGAGATGATCTAAGGGCTGGCAGCAGAGTAACGGAGATATCTGTATCTTAGTGCTGTAGAGTGAACAGATACCTTGGCACAGACGCCTGAGCTGCTCCAAAGTTGGAATGTTCTTTTCTGAACTTGCTGTTAATGCAGAGGAGTAAAAACCTTTCTTGCTGTACAAGAGACAACACTTCATTTTGTCATTACCCCCGAGGAGCTTGTCTAAAACAGTACATGCACATTCAGAGCACGTGTGACTCACCTGCCATCAAGGACAGGTCACAGGCACAGCATCAACCTCAACTCTTTGGCTTTGATGCTAACTTTGCTTACATGTTTTATAAAGGCTATTGAATACATTTTTTCAATGGCATAAAGCTTCCAACTATCTGAAATCATTGCTTAGTGATTGTGAATAAACTTTGACAGCTTCGCTGAGTTGCAAAGGCAAAAACAGATTAATGCAGGAAAGAGTCAAAGTGGTAAATGAAGGCTGGTCTCTGAAGACAGCA